TTGAGTCGAAAGTCCGATTTCGGGCAGAAAGTCGATTTGGCCGAGTTGAGTCGAAAGTCCGACAGGGGCCCCGCAGAAAGTTGATGAGTTAAAGTTCGATTTCGGCAGAAAGTCTGAGTTGAGTCGAAAGTCCGACGGGGCTGTAAGTCTGTGTTGAGTCGAAAGTCCGATTTCGGCAGAAAGTTGGAGTTGAGTCGAAAGTTCGATTTTGAGTCTGATTTCGAAAGTTCGAAAGTTCGAATTTCGAGACGAAAGTCTGATTTCGGCAGAAAGTTCGAGTTGAGTCGAAAGTTCGATTTCGGCAGAAAGTCTGAATTGAGTCGAAAGTTCGATTTCGGCAGAAAGTTCGAATTGAGTCGAAAGTCCGATTTTCGGCAGAAAGTTCAAGTTGAGTCGAAAGTCCGTTTTGACAGAAAGTTCGAGTTGAGTTGAAGTCCGATTTCGGCAGAAAGTTCGAGTTGAGTCGAAAGTCCGATTTCGGCAGAAAGTTCGAGTTGAGTCGAAAGTCCGATTTCGGCAGAAAGTTCGAATTGAGTCGAAAGTCCGATTTCGGCAGAAAGTTCGAGTTGAGTCGAAAGTCCGATTTCGGCAGAAAGTTGAAAGGAATCGAAAGTCCGATTTCGGGCAGAAAGTTCGTGTTAGGTCGAAAGTCCGTTTTCGGCAGAAAGTTGGAGTTGAGTCGAAAGTCCGATTTCGACAGAAAGTTCGAGGAGTTGAGTTGAAAGTCCGAGTTGAGTTCGGCAGAAAGTTCGAGTTGATCGAAAGTCCGATTTGGGCCGTAAGTTCGTGTTGAGTCGAAAGTTCGATTTCGGCAGAAAGTTCGAGTTGAGTCGAAAGTCCGATTTCGGCAGAAAGTTGGAGTTGAGTCGAAAGTCCGATTTCGGCAGAAAGTTCGAGTTGATCGAAAGTCTGATTTGGCAGAAAGTTCGAGTTGAGTCGAAAGTCCGATTTCGGCAGAAAGTCTGGAGTTGAGTCGAAAGTCCGATTTCGGCAGAAAGTTCGAGTTGAGTCGAAAGTCCGATTTCGGCAGAAAGTTCGAGTTGAGTCGAGTCCGATTTGGGAAAGTTCGTGTTGAGTCGAAAACCGATTTCGGCAGAAAATTGAGTTGAGTCGAAAGTTCGATTTCGGCAGAAAGTTCGAATTGAGTCGAAAGTCCGATTTCAACCTAAAGTTCGAGGAGTCGAATTGAGTCCGATTTCGACCTAAAAAGAAAGTTGAGTCGAAAGTTCGATTTCGGCAGAAAGTTCGGAGTTGAGTCGAAAGTTCGATTTCGGCAGAAAGTTCGAGTTGAGTCGAAAGTCCGATTTCGGCCGAAAGTTCGAGTTGAGTCGAAAGTCCGATTTCGACAGAAAGTTTGAATTGAGTCGAAAGTCCGATTTTGGGCCGAAAGTTCCGAAAGTCCGTTTTCGGCAGAAAGTTTGAGTTGAGTCGAAAGTCCGATTTCGGCAGAAAGTTCGAGTTGAGTCGAAAGTCCGATTTCGGCAGAAAGTTCGAGTTGAGTCGAAAGTCCGATTTGGGCCGTAAGTTCGAGTTGAGTCGAAAGTCCGATTTCGACAGAAAGTTCGAAGTTGAGTCGAAAGTCCGATTTCGGCAGAAAGTTCGAGTTGAGTCGAAAGTCCGATTTCGGCAGAAAGTTTGAGTTGAGTCGAAAGTCCGATTTGGGACAGAAAGTTCGAAAGTCGAAAGTCCGATTTCGGCAGAAAGTTGTGATGAGTTGAGTCGATTTTGCAGAAAGATTTGAGCGAAAGAAAGTCGAGGAAAGTTCGATTTCGACCACAAAAGTTCGAGTTGAGTCGAAAGTCCGATTTCGGCAGAAAGTTCGAGTTGAGTCGAAAGTCCGATTTTGGCAGAAAAGTTCGATTTCGACGCCAAAGTTGAGTCGAAAGTCCGATTTCGGCAGAAAGTTCGAGTTGAGTCGAAAGTCCGATTTCGGCAGAAAGTCTGAATTGAGTCGAAAGTCCGATTTCGACAGAAAGTTCGAGGAGTCGAAAGTCCGATTTCGACCTAAAGTGAGTCGAAAGTCCGATTTCGGCAGAAAGTTCGAGTTGAGTCGAAAGTCCGATTTGTGCAGAAAGTTAAGTTCGTCGAAAGTCGAGTTTCGGCCTAAAGTTCGAGTTGAGCCGAAAGTCCGATTTCGGCAGAAAGTTCGAGTTGAGTCGAAAGTCCGATTTGGGCCAGAAAGTTCGAGTTGAGTCGAAAGTCCGATTTCGGCAGAAAGTTCGAGTTGAGTCGAAAGTCCGATTTCGGCAGAAAGTTCGAGTTGAGTCGAAAGTTCGATTTCAACCTAAAGTTCGAGTTGAGTCGAAAGTCCGATTTCCGGCAGAAAGTTGGAGTTGAGTCGAAAGTCGATTTCGGCAGAAAGTTCGAGTTGAGTCGAAAGTCCGATTTCGGCAGAAAAATTGAGTCGAAAGTCCGATTTCGGCAGAAAGTTCTGAGTTCGAAGTCCGATTTGGGAAAGTTCGAATTGAGTCGAAAGTCCGATTTGGGCTGAAAGTTCGTGTTGAGTCGAAAGTCCGATTTCGGCAGAAAGTTTGAGTTGAGTCGACCCCGGCAGAAAGTTCGAGTTGAGTCGAAAGTCCGATTTCGGCAGAAAGTCTGAGTTGAGTCGAAAGTCCGATTTGGGCCGAAAGTTGAGTTGAGTCGAAAGTCCGATTTCAGAAAGTTCGAGTTGAGTCGAAAGTCCGATTTCGGCAGAAAGTTCGAATTGAGTCGAAAGTCCGATTTCGGCAGAAAGTTAGAGTTGAGTCGAAAGTCCGATTTCGACAGAAAGTTCGAATTGAGTCGAAAAGTCCGATTTGGGCTGAGTCGAAAGTTCGAAAGTCGAAAGTCCGATTTCGGCAGAAAGTTTGAGTTGAGTCGAAAGTCCGATTTCGGCAGAAAGTTCGAGTTTCGAAAGTCCGATTTGGCAGAAAGATTTCGTGTTGAGTCGAAAGTCCGATTTCGGCCGAAAGTTCGAGTTGAGTCGAAAGTCCGATTTCGGCAGAAAGTTCGAGTTGAGTCGAAAGTCCGATTTTGGCAGAAAGTTCTGAGTTGAGTCGAAAGTCCGATTTCGGCAGAAAGTTCGAATTGAGTCGAAAGTCCGATTTCGACAGAAAGTTCGGAGTTGAGTCGAAAGTTCGATTTCGGCAGAAAGTTGAATTGAGTCGAGTTGATTTCGCGAAAGTTGGAGGAGATTGATTTCGGAGAAAGCAGAAAGTCCGATTTCGGCAGAAAGAATTGAGTCGAAAGTCCGATTTGGGCCGTAAGTTCGTGTTGAGTCGAAAGTCCGATTTCGGCAGAAAGTTCGAGTTGAGTCGAAAGTCCGATTTCGGCAGAAAGTTCGAGTTGAGTCGAAAGTCCGATTTCGGCAGAAAGTTCGAGTTGAGTCGAAAGTCCGATTTCGGCAGAAAGTTCGAGTTGAGTCGAAAGTTCGAGTTTCGAAAGCAGAAAAGTTCGAGTTGAGTCGAAAGTCCGATTTCGGCAGAAAGTTCGAGTTGAGTCGAAAGTTCGATTTTGGCAGAAAGTTCGAATTGAGTCGAAAGTCAGATTTCGACATAAAGTTCGAGGAGTCGAAAGTTCGATTTCGACCTAAAGTTCGTGTTGAGTCGAAAGTCCGATTTCGGCAGAAAGTTCGAGTTGAGTCGAAAGTTCGATTTCGACCTAAAGTTCGAGGAGTCGAAAGTTCGATTTCGACCTAAAGTTCGAGTTGAGTCGAAAGTCCGATTTCGGCAGAAAGTTCGAGTTGAGTCGAAAGTCCGATTTCGGCAGAAAGTTCGTGTTGAGTCGAAAGTCCGATTTCGGCAGAAAGTTCGAGTTGAGTCGAAAGTTCGATTTCGGCAGAAAGTTCGAGTTGAGTCGAAAGTCCGATTTCGGCCGAAAGTTCGAGTTGAGTCGAAAGTCCGATTTCGGCAGAAAGTTCGAGTTGAGTCGAAAGTTCGATTTCGGCAGAAAGTTCGAATTGAGTCGAAAGTCCGATTTCTGCAGAAAGTTCGAATTGAGTCGAAAGTCCGATTTCGGCAGAAAAGTTCGAGTTGAGTCGAAAGTCCGATTTCGGCAGAAAGTTCCGAATTTGAGTCGAAAGTCCGATTTCGACATAAAGTTCATGTTGAGTCGAAAGTCCGATTTCGGCAGAAAGTTCGAGTTGAGTCGAAAGTCCGATTTCGGCAGAAAGTTTGAGTTGAGTCGAAAGTCCGATTTGGGGCAGAAAGTTCGAATTGAGTCGAAAGTCCGATTTCGGCAGAAAGTTCGTGTTGAGTCGAAAGTCCGATTTCGGCAGAAAGTTCGAGTTGAGTCGAAAGTCCGATTTCGGCAGAAAGTTCGGGCCAAGTTCGAGTTGAGTCGAAAGTCCGATTTCGGCAGAAAGTTCGAAAAGTCGATTTCGGCAGAAAGTTCGAGTTGAGTCGAAAGTTCCGATTTCGGCAGAAAGTTCGAGTTGAGTCGAAAGTCCGATTTCGGCAGAAAGTTCGAGTTGAAAGTTCGATTTCGGCAAAAAAGTTCGAATTGAGTCGAAAGTCCGATTTCGGCAGAAAGTTAGAATTGAGTCGAAAGTCCGATTTGGGGAGAAAGTTCGAGTTGAGTCGAAAGTCCGATTTCGGCAGAAAAGTTGAGTCGAAAGTTCGATTTCGGCAGAAAGTTCGAGTTGAGTCGAAAGTCCGATTTCGGCAGAAAGTTCGAGTTGAGTCGAAAGTCCGATTTGGGCGAAAGTTCGTGTTGAGTCGAAGTCCGATTTCGGCAGAAAGTTCGAGTTGAGTCGAAAGTCCGATTTCGGCAGAAAGTTCGAGTTGAGCCGAAAGTCCGATTTCGGCAGAAAGTTCGAGTTGATTCGAAAGTCCGATTTTGGCAGAAAGTTCGAGTTGAGTCGAAAGTCCGATTTCGGCAGAAAGTTCGAGTTGAGTCGAAAGTCCGATTTGGGCCGTAAGTTCGTGTTGAGTCGAAAGACCGATTTCGGCAGAAAATTCGAGTTGAGTCGAAAGTTCGATTTTGGCAGAAAGTTCGAATTGAGTCGAAAGTTCGATTTCGACCTAAAGTTCGAGGAGTCGAAAGTTCGATTTCGACCTAAAGTTCGAGTTGAGTCGAAAGTTCGATTTCGGCAGAAAGTTCGAGTTGAGTCGAAAGTTCGATTTCGTAAGAAAGTTCGAATTGAGTCGAAAGTCCGATTTCGGCAGAAAGTTAGAGTTGAGTCGAAAGTCCGATTTCGACAGAAAGTTCGACGGAGTCGAAAGTCCGATTTCGACAGTTCGAAGTCCGAATTTCGGCAGAAAAGTCCGTTTTGAGGCAGAAAGTTCGAGTTGAGTCGAAAGTCCGATTTCGGCAGAAAGTTCGAGTTGAGTCGAAAGTCCGATTTCGGCAGAAAGTAAGTTCGAGTTGAGTCGAAAGTCCGATTTCGGCAGAAAGTTCGAGTTGAGTCGAAAGTCCGATTTCGGCAGAAAGTTCGAGCGAGTCGAAAGTCCGATTTTGGCAGAAAGTTCGAATTCGAGTTGAGTCGACAAAAAGTTCGATTTCGGCAGAAAGTTCGTGTTGAGCGAAAGTCCGATTTCGGCAGAAAGTTCGAGTTGAGTCGAAAGTCGATTTCGGCAGAAAGTTCGAATTGAGTCGAAAGTTCGATTTTCGACCGAAAGTCCCGAGTTGAGTCGAAAGTCCGATTTCGCAGAAAGTTTGAGCTTGAGTCGAAAGTCCGATTTCGACCTAAAGTCGGTTGGAGTCGAAAGTTCGATTTCGGCAGAAAGTTCGAGTTGAGTCGAAAGTCCGAGTCTTTCGGCAGAAAGTTCGAGTTGAGTCGAAAGTCCGATTTCGGCAGAAAGTTTTCTGAGCGAGTTGATTTGGGCCGAAAGTTCGAGTTGAGTCGAAAGTGATTTCGGCAGAAAGTTCGAGTTGAGTCGAATTTCGGGGCCGTAAGTTCGAGTTGATTCGAAAGTCCGATTTCGGCAGAAAGTTCGAGTTGAGCCGAAAGTCCGATTTCGGCAGAAAGTTCGAGTTGAGTCGAAAGTCCGATTTCGGCAGAAAGTTCGTGTTGAGTCGAAAAAGTCCGATTTCGGCAGAAAGTTCGAGTTGAGTCGAAAGTCCGATTTCGGCAGAAAGTTCGAGTTGAGTCGAAAGTCCGACGGGGCAGAAAGTTCGTGTTGAGTCGAAAGTCCGATTTCGGCAGAAAGTTCGAGTTGAGTCGAAAGTTCGATTTCGGCAGAAAAAGAGTTGAGTCGAAAGTCCGATTTCGACCAGAAAGTCTGAGTTGAGTCGAAAGTCCGATTTCGGCCTAAAAGTTCGAGTTGAGTCGAAAGTTCGATTTCGCAGAAAGTTCGAGTTGAGTCGAAAGTCCGATTTCGGCAGAAAGTTCGAATTGAGTCGAAAGTCCGATTTCGAAAGTTCGGAGAGGTTGAGAAAGTTCGATTTGACCCAAAGTTGAGTTGAAAGTCCGATTTCGACCGAAAGTTCGGGTTGAGTCGAAAGTCCGATTTCGGCAGAAAGTTCGAATTGAGTCGAAAGTCCGATTTCGGCAGAAAGTTAGAGTTGAGTCGAAAGTCCGATTTCGACAGAAAGTTCGAATTGAGTCGAAAGTCCGATTTGGGCCGTAAGTTCGTGTTGAGTCGAAAGTCCGTTTTCGGCAGAAAGTTTGAGTTGAGTCGAAAGTCCGATTTCGGCAGAAAGTTCGAGTTGAGTCGAAAGTCCGATTTCGGCAGAAAGTTCGAGTTGAGTCGAAAGTCCGATTTCGGCAGAAAGTTCGAATTGAGTCGAAAGTCCGATTTCGGGAAAGAAAAGTCGAAAGTCCGAGTTGAGTCGAAAGTCCGATTTCGGCAGAAAGTTTGATTTCGAAAAGTCCGATTTCGCAGAAAGTCGAAGTTGAGTCGAAAGTCCGATTTCGGCAGAAAGTTCGAGTTGAGTCGAAAGTCCGATTTGGGCAGAAAGTTCGAGTTGAGTCGAAAGTCCGATTTCGGCAGAAAGTTCGAGTTGAGTCGAAAGTCCGATTTGGGGCAGAAAGTTCGAGTTGAGTCGAAAGTCCGATTTCGATTTTGCAGAAAGTTCGAATTGAGTCGAAAGTTCGATTTCGACAGAAAGTTCGAGTTGAGTCGAAAGTCCGATTTCGGCAGAAAGTTCGAGTTGAGTCGAAAGTCCGATTTCGGCAGAAAGTTGAGTTGAGTCGAAAGTCCGATTTCGGCAGAAAGTTCGAAGTTGAGTCGAAAGTCCGATTTGGGCCGAAAAGTGTTTGAGTCGAAAAGTCCGATTTCGGCAGAAAGTTTGAGTTGAGTCGAAAGTCCGATTTCGGCAGAAAGTTCGAGATTCGAGTCGAAAGTCCGATTTCGCAGAAAGTTGGGGAGTTGAGTCGAAAGTCCGATTTCGGCAGAAAATTCGAGTTGAGTCGAAAGAAAGTCGAAAGTCTGATTTCGGCCGAAAGTTCGGAGTTGAGTCGAAAGTCCGATTTCGGCAGAAAGTTCGAGTTGAGTCGAAAGTCCGATTTCGGCAGAAAGTTCGAGTTGAGTCGAAAGTCCGATTTCGGCAGAAAGTTTGAATTGAGTCGAAAGTCCGATTTCGGGCTAAAGTTCGAGTTGAGTCGAAAGTCCGATTTCAGAAAGTTCGAGTTGAGTCGAAAGTCGATTTTCGGCAGAAAGTTCGAGTTGAGTCGAAAGTTCGATTTCGGCAGAAAGTTCGAGTTGAGTCGAAAGTTCGATTTCGGCAGAAAGTTCGAGTTGAGTCGAAAGTTCGATTTCGGCAGAAAGTTCGAGTTGAGTCGAAAGTCCGATTTCGGCAGAAAGTTCGAGTTGAGTCGAAAGTCCGATTTCGGCAGAAATTCGGAGTTGAGTCGAAAGTCCGATTTCGACCTCAAAGTTCGAAAGTCCGATTTCGGCAGAAAGTTCGAGAATTGAGTCGAAAGTCCGATTTCGGCAGAAAGTTCGAGTTGAGTCGAAAGTCCGATTTCGACAGAAAAGTTCGAGTTGAGTCGAAAGTCCGATTTCGGCAGAAAGTTCGAGTTGAGTCGAAAGTCCGATTTTTCGGCAGAAAGTCTGAGTTGAGTCGAAAGTCGATTTTCGGCAGAAAGTTGGAGTTGAGCTGAAAGTCCGATCGGGGCAGAAAGTTGGAGTTGAGTCGAAAGTCTGAAAGTTCGTGTTGAGTCGAAAGTCCGATTTTGGCAGAAAGTTCGAGTTGAGTCGAAAGTTCGATTTCGGCAGAAAGTTGGAATTGGGTCGAAATTTCGCAGAAAGTTCGAGTTGGAGTCGAAAGTCGATTTCGACAGAAAGTTCGAGGAGTCGAAAGTTCGATTTCGGCAGAAAGTTCGAGTTGAGTCGAAAGTCTGATTTCGGCAGAAAGTCTGAGTTGAAAGTCCGAATTTCGAATTGAGTCGAAAGTTCGATTTTGAAAAGTCGAAAGTCCGATTTCGGCAGAAAGTTCGAGTTGAGTCGAAAGTCCGATTTCGGCAGAAAGTTCGAGTTGAGTCGAAAGTCCGATTTCGGCAGAAAGTTCGTGTTGAGTCGAAAGTCCGATTTCGCAGAAAGTTTGAGTCCGATTTCAGAAAGTCCGAATTTCGAGAGGAAAGTTCGAGTTGAGTCGAAAGTCCGATTTGGCAGAAAGTTCGAGTTGAGTCGAAAGTCCGATTTGGGCAGAAAGTTCGTGTTGAGTCGAAAGTCCGATTTCGGCAGAAAGTTCGAGTTGAGTCGAGTCCGATTTGGGCAGAAAGTTCGAGTTGAGTCGAAAGTCCGATTTCGGCAGAAAGTTCGAGTTGAGTCGAAAGTCGATTTCGGCAGAAAGTCTGAGTTGAGTCGAAAGTCCGATTCGGCAGAAAGTTCGAGTTCGAGCAGAAAGTTCGAAAGTCCGATTTCGGCAGAAAGTTCGAGTTGAGTCGAAAGTTCGATTTCGGCAGAAAGTTCGAGTTGAGTGGCAGAAAGTCCGATTTTGACCTAAAAGTTCGAGTTGAGTCGAAAGTTCGAGCAGAAAGTTCGAGTTGAGCGAAAGTCCGATTTCGCAGAAAGTTCGAGTTGAGTCGAAAGTCCGATTTCGGCAGAAAGTTCGAGTTGAGTCGAAAGTCCGATTTCGGCAGAAAGTTCGAGTTGAGTCGAAAGTTCGATTTCGGCAGAAAGTTCGAATTGAGTCGAAAGTCCGATTTCGGCAGAAAGTTCGAGTTGAGTCGAAAGTCCGATTTCGGCAGAAAGTTCGAATTGAGTCGAAAGTCCGATTTCGGCAGAAAGTTCGAATTGAGTCGAAAGTCCGATTTCGGCAGAAAGTTCGAGTTGAGTCGAAAGTCCGATTTCGGCAGAAAGTTCGAGTTGAGTCGAAAGTCCGATTTCGGCAGAAAGTTCGAGTTGAGTCGAAAGTCCGATTTGGGCCGTAAGTTCGTGTTGAGTCGAAAGTCCCGATTTTGTTGAGTCGAAAAGTTTTCGGCAGAAAGTTGAGTCGAAAGTCCGATTTCGGCAGAAAGTTCGAGTTGAGTCGAAAGTTCGATTTCGGCAGAAAGTTCGGAATTGAGTCGAAAGTCCGATTTCGGCAGAAAGTTCGAGTTGAGTCGAAAGTCCGATTTCGCAGAAAGTTCGGAGTTGAGTCGAAAGTCCGATTTCGGCAGAAAGTTCGAGTTGAGTCGAAAGTTCGATTTCGGCAGAAAGTCTGAGTTGAGTCGAAAGTTCGATTTCGGCAGAAAGTTCGAGTTGAGTCGAAAGTCCGATTTCGGCAGAAAGTTCGAGTTGAGTCGAAAGTCCGATTTGGGCAGAAAGTCTGAGTTGAGTAAGTCTGAGTTCGGCAGAAAGTTGAGTCGAAAGTCCGATTTCGGCAGAAAGTTCGAGTTGAGTCGAAAGTCTGATTTCGGCAGAAAAGTTCGAGTTGAGTCGAAAGTCCGATTTGGGCAGAAAGTCTGAGTTGAGTCGAAAGTCCGATTTCGGCAGAAAGTTCGAGTTGAGTCGAAAGTTCGATTTCGGCAGAAAGTTCGAGTTGAGTCGAAAGTCCGATTTCGGCAGAAAGTTGAGTTGAGTCGAAAGTCCGATTTCGGCAGAAAGTTCGAGTTGAGTCGAAAGTCCGATTTCGGCAGAAAATTCAGAGTTGAGTCGAAAGTCCGATTTCGGCAGAAAGTTCGAATTGAGTCGAAAGTCCGATTTCGGCAGAAAGTTCGAGCTGAGTCGAGTCCGTTTTTCGATTTGAGCAGAAAGATTTTGGCAGAAAGTTGAATTGAGTCGAAAGTTCGATTTCGGCAGAAAGTTCGAGTTGAGTCGAAAGTCCGATTTCGGCAGAAAGTTCGAGTTGAGTCGAAAGTCCGATTTCGGCAGAAAGTTCGAGTTGAGTCGAAAGTCCGATTTCGGCAGAAAGTTCGAATTGAGTCGAAAGTCCGATTTGGGCCGTAAGTTCGTGTTGAGTCGAAAGTCCGTTTTCGGCAGAAAGTTTGAGTTGAGTCGAAAGTCCGATTTCGGCAGAAAGTTCGAGTTGAGTCGAAAGTCCGATTTCGGCAGAAAGTTTGAGTTGAGTCGAAAGTCCGATTTCGTAAGAAAGTTCGAGCTGAGTCGAAAGTCCGATTTCGGCAGAAAGTCCGAGTTGGGTCGAAAGTTTTCGGGCAGAAGTTGAGTCGAAAGTCCGACGGGGGCAGAAAGTTCGAGTTGAGTCGAAAGTCCGATTTCGGCAGAAAGTTCGAGTTGAGTCGAAAGTCCGATTTCGGCAGAAAGTTCGAGTTGAGTCGAAAGTCCGATTTCGGCAGAAAAAGTTCGAGTTCGTGTTGAGTCGAAAGTCCGATTTCGGCAGAAAGTTCGAGTTGAGTCGAAAGTCCGATTTCGGCAGAAAGTTCGAGTTGAGTCGAAAGTTCGATTTTGGCAGAAAGTTCGAATTGAGTCGAAAGTCAGATTTGGGCCAAAGTTCGAGGAGTCGAAAGTCCGATTTCGGCAGAAAGTTCGAGTTGAGTCGAAAGTCCGATTTCGGCAGAAAGATTTCTGATAAAGTTGAGGAGTCGAAAGTCTGATTTCGACATAAAGTTCGGGTTGAGTCGAAAGTCCGATTTCGGCAGAAAGTTCTGGTTGAGTCGAAAGTCGATTTCGGCAGAAAGTTCGAGTTGAGTCGAAAGTCCGATTTCGGCAGAAAGTTGAGTTGAGTCGAAAGTCCGATTTTAAGTTCGGTTGAGTCGAAAGTCCGATTTCGGCAGAAAGTTTGAGTTGAGTCGAAAGTCCGATTTGGGCAGAAAGTTGAGTTGAGTCGAAAGTCCGATTTCGGCAGAAAGTTTGAGTTGAGTCGAAAGTCCGATTTCGGCAGAAAGTTCGTGTTGAGTCGAAAGTTGATTTCGCAGAAAGTTCGAGTTGAGTCGAAAGTCCGATTTCGGCAGAAAGTTCGAGTTGAGTCGAAAGTTCGATTTTGGCAGAAAGTTCGAATTGAGTCGAAAGTTGAGTACGAAATTGGTCGAAAGTCCGATTTCGGTAAAGTTCGAGTTGTCGAAAGTCCGATTTCGGCAGAAAGTTCGAGTTCGGCAGAAAGTCCGAGCGTAAGTTCAGAAAGTCCGATTTCGGCAGAAAGTTCGATTTCGAAAGTCCGAAATTCGAGTTGAGTCGAGTTGAGTCGAAAGTCCGATTTCGGCAGAAAGTTCGAATTGGGTCGAAAGTCCGATTTCGGCAGAAAAGTTCGAGTTGAGTCGAAAGTCCGATTTCGGCCGAAAGTTCGAGCCGAGTTGAGTCGAAAGTCCGATTTTTTGAGTCGAAAGTTCGATTTCGGCAGAAAGTTCGAGTTGAGTCGAAAGTCCGATTTCGGCAGAAAGTCTGAGTTGAGTCGAAAGTCCGATTTCGGCAGAAAGTTCGAGTTGAGTTGAGTCGTTTTCGCAGAAATTTCGAGTTGAGTCGAAAAGTCCGATTTTTGCAGAGTTGAGTTGAAAGTTCGATTTCGGCAGAAAGTTCGAGTTGAGTCGAAAGTTCGATTTGGCAGAAAGTTCGAGTTGAGTCGAAAGTCCGATTTCGGCAGAAAGTTCGGAGAGTCGAAAGTTCGATTTCGCAGAAAGTTCGAATTGGTCGAAAGTCCGATTTCGGCAGAAAGTTGAATTGAGTCGAAAGTCCGATTTCGGCAGAAAGTTCGAGTTGACCGAAAGTCTGATTTCGGCAGAAAGTTGTGTTGAGTCGAAAGTCCGATTTCGGCAGAAAGTTCGAGTTGAGAAAGTCCGATTTTGCAGAAAGTTGAGTTGAGTCGAAAGTTCGATTTCGGCAGAAAAGTTCGAAAGTCGATTTGAAAGTTCGAAAGTCGAAAGTCCGATTTCGGCAGAAAGTTCGAGTTGAGTCGAAAGTCTGATTTCGACAGAAAGTTCGAATTGAGTCGAAAGTCCGATTTCGGCAGAAAGTTCGAGTTGAGTCGAAAGTCCGAAATTTGAAAGTCGAAAGTCCTAATTTCGGCAGAAAGTTCGAGTTGAGTCGAGTCCGATTTCGGCAGAAAGTTCGAGTTGAGTTGAGTCGAAAGTCCGATTTCGGCAGAAAGTTGGAGTTGAGTCGAAAGTTCGATTTTCGCAGAAAGTTCGAGTTGAGTCAAAGTCCGATTTCGGCAGAAAGTTCGAGTTGAGTCGAAAGTTCGATTTCGGCAGAAAGTTCGAGTTGAGTCGAAAGTCCGATTTCGCAGAAAGTTCGTGTTGAGTCGAAAGTCCGATTTCGGCAGAAAGTTCGAGTTGAGTCGAAAGTCCGATTTCGGCAGAAAGTTCTGGAGTTGAGTCGAAAGTCCGATTTCGGCAGAAAGTTCGAGTTGAGTCGAAAGTCCGATTTCGGCAGAAAGTTCGAGTTGAGTCGAAAGTCCGACGGGGCAGAAAGAGTTGAGTCGAAAGTCCGATTTCGGCAGAAAGTTCGAGTTGAGTCGAAAGTCCGATTTCGGCAGAAAGTTCGAGTTGAGTCGAAAGTCCGATTTTCGGCAGAAAGTTCGTGTCCGATTTTGAAAGTTCGAAAGTCCGATTCGAAAGATTTCGGCAGAAAGTTCGAGTTGAGTCGAAAGTCCGATTTTCGCAGAAAGTTCTGAGAGGAGTCGAAAGTTCGATTTCGGCAGAAAGTTCGAGTTGAGTCGAAAGTCCGATTTCGGCAGAAAGTTCGAGTTGAGTCGAAAGTCCGATTTCGGCAGAAAAGTTTCGAGTTCGATTTCGCAGAAAGTTCGAGTTGAAAGTCCGATTTGGGGCAGATTTCGAAAGCGATTTCGGCAGAAAGTTGAGTCGAAAGTCCGATTTCGACAGAAAGTTCGAGTTGAGCCGAAAGTCCGATTTCGGCAGAAAGTTCGTGTTGAGTCGAAAGTCCGATTTCGGCAGAAAGTTCGAGTTGAGTCGAAAGTCCGATTTCGGCAGAAAGTTCGAGTTGAGTCGAAAGTTCGATTTCGGCAGAAAGTTCGAGTTGAGTCGAAAGTCCGATTTCGGCAGAAAGTTCGAGTTGAGCCGAAAGTCCGATTTCGGCAGAAAGTTCGAGTTGAGCCGAAAGTCCGGTTTCAGCAGAAAGTTCGAGTTGAGTCGAAAGTCCGATTTCGGCAGAAAGTTCGAGTTGAGTCGAAAGTCAGATTTCGACATAAAGTTCGAGTTGAGAGTCGAAAGTCCGATTTCGACCAGAAAGTTCGAGTTGAGTCGAAAGTCCGATTTGGCAGAAAGTTCGGCTGAGTCGAAGTTCGATTTCGGCAGAAAGTTCGAGTTGAGTCGAAAGTTCGATTTCGGCAGAAAGTTCGAGTTGAGTCGAAGATTTTCGCAGAAAGTTCGAGTTGAGTCGAAAGTCCGACGGGGCTGAAAGTTCGAGTTGAGTCGAAAGTTCGATTTCGGCAGAAAGTTCGGAGTTGAGTCGAAAGTCCGATTTCGGCAGAAAGTTCGAGTTGAGTCGAAAGTCCGATTTCGGAAATTTCGTGTTGAGTCGAAAGTCCGATTTGGGCATAAAGTTCGAGTTGAGTCGAAAGTCCGATTTCGGCAGAAAGTTCGAGTTGAGTCGAAAGTCCGATTTCGCAGAAAGTTCGAGTTGAGTCGAAAGTTCGATTTTGTCCAAAAAGTTCGAGTCGAAAGATTTCGAAAGTTCGAGTTCGAAAGCCGTAAAGTTCCGTTGAGTGCAGAAAGTTTGAGTTGAGTCGAAAGTCCGATTTCGGCAGAAAGTTCGAGTTGAGTCGAAAGTCCGATTTCGGCAGAAAGTTCGAGGAGTCGAAGTCTGATTTCGGCAGAAAGTTCGAAGTTCGAGTCGAAAGTTCGATTTCGCAGAAAGTTCGAGTTGAAAGTCCGAAAGTCCGAAAGTTTGAGGCAGAAAGTCCGATTTGGCCTAAAGTTCGAGTCGAAAGTCCGATTTCGGCAGAAAGTTCGAGTTGAGTCGAAAGTCCGATTTGGGGCAGAAAGTTCGAGTTGAGTCGAAAGTCCGTTTTCGGCAGAAAGTTCGAGTTGAGTCGAAAGTCCGATTTGGGCAGAAAGTTCGAGTTGAGTCGAAAGTCCGATTTGGGCAGAAAGTTCGAGTTGAGTCGAAAGTCCGATTTGGGCAGAAAAGTTTTGAGCAGAAAGATTTGGGCCGAAAGTTGAGTTGAGTCGAAGTCCGATTCGGCAGAAAGTTCGAGTTGAGTCGAAAGTCCGATTTCGGCAGAAAGTTCGAGTTGAGTCGAAAGTCCGATTGGGGCAGAAAGTTCGAGTTGAGTCGAAAGTCCGATTTGGGCAGAAAGTTCGAGTTGAGTCGAAAGTCCGATTTCGGCAGAAAGTTCGAGTTGAGTCGAAAGTCCGATTTCGGCAGAAAGTTCGAGTTGAAAGTCCGAAAGTTCGAGTTGAGTCGAAAGTCCGATTTCGGCAGAAAGTTCGAGTTGAGTCGAAAGTCCGATTTCGGCAGAAAGTTCGAGTTGAGTCGAAAGATTTCGAAAAGTTCGAAAGTCCGATTTCGGCAGAAAGTTCGTGTTGAGTCGAAAGTCCGATTTCGGCAGAAAGTTCTGAGTTGAGTCGAAAGTCCGATTTCGGCAGAAAGTTCGAGTTGAGTCGAAAGTCCGATTTCGGCAGAAAGTTCGAATTGAGTCGAAAGTCCGATTCGGCAGAAAGTTAGAGTTGAGTGAGTCCGAAAGTCCGAAATTTGAGTTGAGAAAGTCCGATTTTGAGTTCGAAAGTCCGATTTCGGCAGAAAGTTCGAGTTGAGTCGAAAGTCCGATTTCGGCAGAAAGTTCGAGTTGAGTCGAAAGTCCGATTTGGGCCGTAAGTTCGAGTTGAGTCGAAAGTCCGATTTCGGCAGAAAGTTCGAGTTGAGTCGAAAGTCCGATTTCGGCAGAAAGTTCGAGTTGAGTCGAAAGTCCGATTTCGGCAGAAAGTTCGAGTTGAGTCGAAAGTCAGATTTCGACATAAAGTTCGAGGAGTCGAAAGTTCGATTTCGACCTAAAGTTCGTGTTGAGTCGAAAGTCCGATTTCGGCAGAAAGTTCGAGTTGAGTCGAAAGTCCGATTTCGGCAGAAAGTTCGAGTTGAGTCGAAAGTCCGATTTCGACCTAAAGTTCGAGTTGAGTCGAAAGTCCGATTTCGGCAGAAAGTTCGAGTTGAGTCGAAAGTTCGATTTCGGGGCCGAAAGTTCGAGTTGAGTCGAAAGTCCGATTTCGGCAGAAAAGTTCGAGTTGAGTCGAAAGTCCGATTTCGGCAGAAAGTTCGAGTTGAGTCGAAAGTTCCGATTTCGGGCAGAAAGTTGGAGTTGAGTCGAAAGTCCGATTTCGGCAGAAAGTTCGAGTTGAGTCGAAAGTCCGATTTCGACCTAAAGTTCGAGGAGTCGAAAGTTCGATTTCGACCTAAAGTTCGAGTTGAGTCGAAAGTTCGATTTCGGCAGAAAGTTCGAGTTGAGTCGAAAGTTCGATTTCGGCAGAAACCTAAAGTTCGAGGAGTCGAGTTCGATTTCGACCTAAAGTTCGAGTTGGAGGATTTCGAAAGTTCGAGGATTTCGAGTTCGATTTCGACCTAAAGTTCGAGTTGAGTCGAAAGTCCGATTTCGGCAGAAAGTTCGAGTTGAGTCGAAAGTCCGATTTGGGCCGTAAGTTCGTGTTGAGTCGAAAGTCCGATTTCGGCAGAAAGTTCGAGTTGAGTCGAAAGTTCAATTTCGGCAGAAAGTTCGAGTTGAGTCGAAAGTCCGATTTCGACTTAAAGTTCGAGTTGAGTCGAAAGTCCGATTTCGGCAGAAAGTTCGAGTTGAGTCGAAAGTTCGATTTCGGCAGAAAGTTCGAATTGAGACGAAAGTCCGATTTTGGCAGAAAGTTCGAGTTGAGTCGAAAGTTCGATTTCGGCAGAAAGTTCGAGTTGAGTCGAAAGTCCGATTTCGGCAGAAAGTTCGAGTTGAGTCGAAAGTCCGATTTCGGCAGAAAGTTCGAGCTGAGTCGAAAGTTCGATTTCGACCTAAAGTTCGAGTTGAGTCGAAAGTTTGATTTCGGCAGAAAGTTCGAGTTGAGTCGAAAGTTCGATTTCGACCTAAAGTTCGAGTTGAGTCGAAAGTTCGATTTCGGCAGAAAGTTCGAGTTGAGTCGAAAGTCCGATTTGGGACCTAAGTCCGAGTTGAGCCGAAAGTCCGATTTAAAATTGATTTCCTCACTTCAAAAGTTTTGGAGACATTTTCAAATGAATTTAAAACATTTTTTTAATTCACAAACTTTAAACTCGACATAGATTATTTGTTGTTTTTTTTTTTAGTTATTTTAAAATATGTATTCTTAACTGTCTCCTCTTCATCCGTACACAAATCCTAATGCTGGATGTTAAAGCACCAGATGCACGGCAGATTGTTAATTGCAGGAGCATCCTGATTCTAAAATGTATATGTCTATGTAGAACAAGTGTGGCCCGAGTTAGAGTTAGTTTCAGACACATGGATGGACAGACAAATTTTGCCGGTTATTTATATAGATTTTACTCCATCTTACCAATATTGCTTTTGGATGAAGTATTTTTTATTGTTCTTATTTTATTACTAGTTTTATACTCTCTTATTATTGGTTTTAGATTAAGTAATTCACTATTAATATTAAAATTTAATAATTAGTTCTTCTTATTACACTTTAGATGAAGATTTGAAATTGATGTGGGGGCAAATTTGGGACCACAGAAGGAAAACACGGAACACGAATTAGATGTAAGAAAGATATATTAACAACAGGTTACAGAGATAGTGTAAGCGGAGCTTACTATATGTTAGTGTCCAACACTGGTAGTCGTACTAGACTCTCACTGTCAATCTCTGTCACTCTCTAGAGTGCTATGTCGCCTATTTAATATAGGCCTGGAAGAGTCTATTGTGTAGGTAGGTTCCGATCTCACAATTGAAATAATATTATTTAATTAGGACTACTAAACTTTATTAGTATTGTTACTGAGATAAACATCTTCACTCATATTGCTTTAATACGATTAATGTTATTTTAACTTTTATTATTATATCGATATTTTTTTATTATTTATCAGATCATTCTGGTCGATACAGTTTACGTTGGATTATAGCTAGATCCTGTTAAAACAAGTTACACTTACCAAAGTTAAGAAACGTCGAGCCTTGTCAGTATCTAGATGGGTGACGCTTGGGAATACCATGTTCCCTAAGGTTGAATGTATAGCTGGTGTAACAGATGATGGCTCGCAATTATAGATTACAGAATCTAGTTCTAATCCCAGCCGTGTTCAATGTATTCCCCTTTTTTTAATCATTTCACCCCAAGCAACGTCGTAAAGCCACTAAGATGCTCGGGGTCTTTGAGTGTCAGAGTGTTGTAGAGTAGTTTTCACAGTGGAGGCTTGTATTTCGCTAAGTCGGTCCTAAAAGGGTCCGACGTACAAAACGTTAGGAACTTGAAATAAGAGTTAATGACGCAGCAATCTAGTTGTGGTCGTTGATACTTCAATGTCCGACATCGACTGACTCACTCAACTCCACTGAGCTCAACTGGCGACCGCTACGACTACTACTACTACTTATTATGTGTTGGAGAGTCTATTAATAATAGAATAGGTACGTTCAGGTATAACACAGAGAATATGAGAAAAGCTACTATTAAGGAAAGAGGACAATAAAAGATCAACAGTTTTTAATCAGAGTACCGAATTCCAATTCACTATCGAGAATATACACTTGTGAAAAATATGAATCCACCTCCTCTCCCCTAGCTATGGATTAATTAGTAAGATTTCTATCACCAAACAATCATTATCTAAAAACAAAAAAATATCTCTTAAAATGTAAACATATTTCCTGTCTTTAAATCACTTGTAATGGGTTGATAAGCCGAGAAAACGAATCGACCAACACATGTTGTTTTCATTATATTCTTTGATTACTGTTATATATATATATTTCTTTCCGGGTTCTAACAAATTAAGACCACGCACATTTTACATCGATAAATCTCTTCGTAAGTTGTGAGCAATATTTGTGAGTACAATTGTTTGTATTTCTTTAAGCCATGGACTACCAGGAATGCCTTCAGTGAGTCTATCGTAACATTTTCCAATCAATCCGAGGGCTTCAACTACAACTGGAATTATGAATGAACTCATGTGCCACATTTTTTTTTTAGATTTCCACTTCACGATCTTTGTATTTTGGTAGATT